GGTTCTGTACTCGTGCACCGGGCTCGGGGCACGAACGCGGTGAGCAGTTATGCGCACGCCTCCTGTCCTGCCTGGTGAACTTAAGGCAGAGCTCGGGATGGAGGGCAGGCGAGACCCGTGAGGTGGTGGATTCCCTGGGGCATAAGTCCTCCAAACCGAAAAACAGAGCACCTTCCCAAGAGTCAACCGGCCCAAGCTCTCAGCCTCCTTCCAGCCCTCAAACTGCTCCTTCTCCTGTGTGTTAGTTTCTGAGATCCTTTTGTCTCCCAGCTCTGTAAAGCCCTTGAGAGGCTGGTGATGGGGGACATTTGGGTGTCTGAACCTATTGGTTGAACCCTGGTCATTACGCAGGTGTGCCAGATTGGGGAAATAGGGAAGACAAAGCTTGGTGTGGAGGTTCCAGATGTCAGGGGCTGCCGGAGCCTAGAGGTTACAGGTGCTGCTAACCAGGACAGGGGGAGAAACAACAATTCTTAATGAGGAGTTAGCATGTGCCAGGCACCGAATTCTGCCCTTCCGTTGCTCCATTGCAAGTTCCTCCTCTGTAAAGTGGGACCTGCCTCACGGTGCGTGTGAAAATAAAGATGTTAACAGGAAAGTGTTTATTGACCAAAACATAAACTTTTATCATTTTCGTCTCATTTAATTCTCATAATCAGGCATGGCTGCCTTTTCCGGGCCAGGCCTAAGTTTCCTATGAAAGCAAGCTGTGTGTTGGGGGTTTATAAGACCTCAGGCAACCTACAGATAGTCTAAGGCAGTTCTCAGTTGGGGGTGAGTTTGTCCCCCAGAGGACACCTCGCAGTGTCTGGAGACATTTGTGGTTGTCACAACTGGGGTGCATGGGGAAGGGTGTGACTGGTATTCTGGCAGGCAGAGGCCAGGGACGCTGGTAAACATTGTGCACAGGGTGGCCTCCCACAGCCAAGAAACATCTGGCCCCAAATAAAGATAGTACTCAGACTGGGAACCCTGGTGTATGTGGTGTTCTGCCGTTCCTTTGCTTTTTACTGCAGAACTAATAGGCACATTGAGGTCTTTCTTCGTTGGTTTTAGTCTCCTACTTTGCAGATTTCTTTATTATAAGTATTTAAACAGATTTCCACATCACTCTCGTAATTTTTTGAGTGAGAAGTTAGTAAAAAGAAACTTTGTCCTAATATGGGCATCAGTGAAAAAAAGAGGCTGTGAAAACCAGCCTGCCTGGGTGACTCCGTGTGCCATGTGCTTAATTGTGTGACCTGGAGTAAGTGACTGAACTCTTCTGTCCTCATCTGTTCATTAGGGATCGTAGTAGCAGCTGTTGGAAGACCTAAATGATTTAATGTATGTAAAGCGTTAAGAACAGTGCTTGGTGCTTTGTAAGTGCTGTAAAAAGAGTTGGGGGCGGGCAGTGTTCTGGTTCTTTATGTCACCTCCTGGGGGCAGCAGTAATTAGCAGTGTTGAGAACTGGACCAGTTCTGATCCTTAGTGGCCACGTTCATCAACAAACTGGCACAGTCTGGGTAGAAGTTTCTCGTGGCTGCTTTGTGAACAGTTTCAGATTCATGTGTTGTAACACAGGAACTTAGTATTCTAGGGGAAAAGGCTGAGTTGATGTTGGGGGCTTCCAGAGATGGCAGGTGGCTATCTGCAGCTTCTGGTTAGTCACAGAATAAAGGTCGAGTCCCTCATCCTGGTGTCTGTGACCTGGCCCCTGATGGCTTTGCAGCCTCATCTCTCACCCCTGAATCACCGGCATGTTTTTCTGCCAAATGTTTGCACGTGCTGTCTCCTCTTCCTGAAGACTCCGTCCCTCACCTCTCCTCCTACCGCACTGATTGCTGTTTCTCATCCAGGTGGCCACTTGGAGGGCGTTCCTCCTGGAAGCCACAGGACCCCTCCTCCCCTGTACTGGATTAACCAGCCACCTCTGGACTGCCATGCCCCTGGTCCCTCACTTTGTCAGAGGCCCTGTCACCTTGGGTTGTGGCTGTCTGTGTCTGTTTCAGGGTCTCTTTGGGTTGGGTGCTTCTTGAGGGAGGAGTTTGGTTGGATTTGAACCTGGGTTCCCTGGCAATACTGAGCACAAGACCGGGTACAGAGCAGGTGAGATATTGAAGGTCCTTCCTCAGCTGCTCCTAGCTTACCTCTCCATTCTTGCCTCCTCCTGTTACCCACACCCCAGTCAACACTAAGCTCAGGCAGGAAACGATTGCCATGGGATGTGGTGGTTAAGGATGGAGGCAGCCTGGTTCAGATCCTGGGACAACCATTCTAGATGTGTAAGCGTGGACAAGTTCCGCTTCCTCACCTGTAAGATGGAGATACAGTAGTACAGCCCTCATAGGATTAGAGCGTTGGTTCTCAACCTGGGGTGAGTTTGACCCCCAGGGGACATTTGGCAGAGACATTTTTGGTTGAGATGGAGTGGGGAACTGGCATCCAGTAGATAGAGGCCAGCAATGTTACTAAACCTTGAACACACAGAACAGCACTTACAGCAAAGAAATAACCTGCCCCAAATGTTGGTGGTTCTGGGGTTGAGAAGAGATACTTACTGCGTGCTTAGAACAGGCCACAAGAAGCACTCCGTAGACATTAGCTACCATTACCGCCATGACTTAAGCATGACAAGCGCTGATGCCTCCATCTCTGCCCAGAACGCCCTCCCCCCACTTTGCATGGGGGCTGAATAGCTACTCATCCTTCAGGACCTAACCAGAATGCCGCCTCTTCGGGGAAACCTTCCCTGACCTCTCCCACCCTTGTCCCCCAGAATACCGTCAGGCAGGCAGTGACTGACTCCCTCACAGCCGCACGCACAGGCCTGGGCTCAAATTCATGCTCTTTTCTCACACCTGAGCGACTTTGGGCCTCAGAGTCTTTTCAATGGAATTGAATAGTGTCTTTGAGGATGAGGTAGACCAGCACGAGGGGAGTATTTGATTAATGTCAGGATTCCTTTTGTGGAATGCATTAGTTAATAAAACCTAAAAGCTTAGTGTTGTTTTAGATTGGTAGAAATTGTTAAGAAATACGTTTTTAAGATTTGTTGGGGGAAAAATAGGTTATCTCTATCACTAGGAAAGTTAAGAAAAAAGATGTTACATGCTGTATACATGAGACCCATGTCAAATGAATAAAGACTCAGAAAATGTGAAAAGTTAAAGTATGGGGAAAGATATACCAGGAAAATAACTCAAAGAAGTCTAAGTTTAGCCACATTAACCACCAAACAAAGCAGATTTTGAGTCAAAAGGCACGATCAGTAATGAAGTGTCATCAGAAATGAAAAAGGAATAACCAGTATGACAAAGCAGTTTTAAACCCGGGTGCAACTCACAACATAGTCCCCAAAGAGGTAGAACTAAAGTTAACAGGAGGACAAGAAGAAATGGACACATTCCAGCAGCACTGTGACATTTGAGTAGATCTCTTTCAGTAATTAATCAAGTAGACAAAAAACAAAGCTACTCTCTTTATTTATAGGCTTCAGTTGCTCTCTGAAATTATCTATTTTCTTGTCTGTCTTCTCCACCAGGGTGCAGGTTTCATGGGGGAGCAGAGGTTTTTGTTCACTTTGTGTCTGGCTGCTTCCTGGGTTCCCACTATAATGCCTGGCACGAAGTGGGTGCTTAGTAAATCTGAGTGAATCAAATGCATGAATGCTCAGCCCTGGTGCTGGGTGATGCTGGGGCCCAGAGATGAGTCATGCTGAGGGCTGGTGAGGGAGAAAGCCAGCTGGACTGGGATCAATCCAGGTTTGATGACCAGAGCTGTGGCAGCCGAGATACCAGGGACTAGGAGAGCCCTGACAGCTTAGCGGGGAGTGAAGGACTTGGAGGAAACTCCCGAGACGCAGAGCACTTGTGATGGCTCTTGATGGATGACCAGGAGTTTATTGGGTGGTGAATAGCATCTCATCCATCCATTCATTTCACGGGGCCGCCTGTGCTGGGAAGTGCCAGGGACCTAGAGCTGAATCAGTCTTGAACCCTGCTCTCAGTAACCCCCTTGTCTGTGGGGGGAGGTTGACACAGGCAGTCCTAATCCAGGATGCCCAGATGGTGGCAGAGGGAGATACAGACGCTGTGGGAGCCATGAGGGGCTACGTGGCGCTTGTGGTGGGGGAGGGGAGGCACCCGGAATGAGCAGGGGTGGGGTAGGTCCCTTCTACACGGGATGCTGGAGGTACGAGAGAACCTAGCCCAGTCCTGGGCTCGTGCCCAGTCCATGTCGCACCCTGCTCCATGCACACTGCCTGATCCAGCCATAAGCCCTGTTTTACAGACAAGGATGTCGAGCCTTAGAGAGGTTGGCTCACTTTCCCAGGGGAGCAGCCCAGCTGGCGTCCAGTGTGACCAGAGGCAGAAGAGCTGAGCTGGGGATGTGCATGAGGCTGGTCCCCCACACAGGTGGCGTGGCCCTGGATGGCCTCGGCAACATCTCTCTCGCCAGTCTCCCCTCTGTGTAGTGCCGCTGTGGGATGGGCTCAGGAAACTGGGACCGAGCCACCTGGGGCAAACGTGAGATGTTTGCAAGATGGGACCAATGACCTTCTGTTTCCTTTCCCAGAATGGAACAGCAGAGGGGGCTCCTGTTGTTTCTGGGGGTACAGATGCTGCTGGTGGGGGCATTGCTCTACCAAAGCCACCACCGCCGTAGCTTCACCTCCTTCCTGCGCTCCCTAATACAAGACAAGCCAGAGGATGGAGAAGAGCTGCCTTTTCTGGTTCAGGTCTCCTCTGTAGGAATCCCTTACCAGGATGTGTACTCCAACCTCAGCCAGATTCACCCCCTGGACATCAGTGATGAGGATCTGCCCAACTGTCCCATCATCTCGCCCTACATCAGTAAGCCTGTAGGGGCCTCTTACACCCCCAGCCCCACCTCAGGCTTCGGGGAGCAGCAGGAATCCCTGCGGAGGAGGGCAGGACCTGGAAGCACAAGGCAGTGGGCTGGGGCGGGCTGGGGCAGTGGAGGGGGGTGCTGGTTATCTAGTGCTGCATCAAAATGAACCACCTCCAAACTTGGTGTCTTTAAACAATCATTAACTCAAAGTGCATGGGGGTCAGAAATTTGGGGGTGGGCTCAGCTGGACGGTTGCAGTCCAGGTTTTTCATGCAGTTGCAGTGAAATGAGGGTGGAGCTAGAACAGCGGCGGGTGGAAGCCGCCAGCGGCGGGTGGAAGCCGCCAGCACCTGGCTTTCTTCATGGGATCTTAGGGTCTCTCCGTATGGGCTAGCTGGGCTTCTTCACAGCATGGTGGCCTCAGAGCTGAAGGCTTCAAGAACAAGTATTCGTGTAAACGAGGCATTGGCCTAATGGCCTTTTACGATCTAGTCTCAAAAGTCACGTGACATCACGTCTCCCATACTCCGTTCATTGGAACAGTTGTAAAGGCCCACTCAGCTTTAAGGGGCAGGGACAGAGACTCGCCTCTCCATAGGAAGAGTGTCAAGGTCACACTGGCCGAAGGGCCTGTTGGGTAAGAGTGTTGTGGCCATCTTGGGGAAAAAGATGGTTTGCCGCAGAAAGAGGAGGCATGCCAGGGGATAAGTGGATGGTGGGCCCTCACTGAGAGAGGAAACTGAGGAGGAGGTGGGTCTAAGATGCAGGGAGAGAGCGGCCTGAGACCCACCCAGGAGGGGACATATGGGGTGTCTTGTGTTAGGTTGGGGTTGGAGCTCAGGAGGCAGACTTAGGACCATCAGAGTCCACTGGAGGAAAAGCAGCAGGAGGTGATGAGCTTGCTGAGGGAGGGCAGAGAGAAGCATGGGAGGCAGGGGAGAGATGAGGGAAGGATCAGAGGAGGTACTGAGAGGTGGAGGGAAGACCCCAGGAGGGCAGGACATTTTTGAGCCAAGAAGCTCAAAAGGGGAAACTCAGAGCCCGTTGTACTGGCATGTTAGTCCCCTAGGGCTGCCCTAACAAAGCGCCGCAAACTGGCGGCTTAAAACAACAGAAACTGGCCCTCTCACAGTCCTGGAGGCCACAAGTCGGAAACCAAGGTGTTGTCAAGGGTTGGCTCCTTCTGGAAGCTCTGGGAGAGAAGCCAGCCTGTGCCTCTGTCCAAGCTTCTGGTGGTTGGTGGCAATCCCTGGCCATCCTTGGCTTGTAGGCACACTGCTTAAATTTTTGCCTCCATGCCACCTTCTCCCTGGGTCTTCACATGGCCTTCTTGGAAGGACATCAGTCATTGGATTGAGGGCCCACCCTAATCCAGTATGACCACATTTCAACCTGCATAATATCTGTGAAGTCCCTATCTCCCAGTAAGGTCACATACTGAAATTCTGGGTGGACATGCCTTTGGGGGTGGGACGTGATTCCACCCAGGACATCTGGCTTGTTGGGGTGTCTAGGGTAGGTCCCTGACCGTCCCTGGCCTGTGCCTCTCTCAGATGGTCCTTTGAAGGTGCTGATCCCAGAGAACCTGACGATGGAGCAGGTGGTGGAGAAGAACCCACTGGTGGAGCTGGGAGGCCAGTACCGGCCACCCGACTGCTGGACAGAGCAGCACACGGCGGTCGTGGTGCCCTACTGTGGGCAAGGCCGGCAGCTGCAGCAGCTGCTCTTCCACCTGCACCCCTTCCTGCAGCGCCAGCAGCTGCACTACGCCGTCTACGTGGTGAACCAGGTGTGGCGGCGGTGTGGAGGGGCAGGGCTGGGAGGGCAGGCGGGTCTGAGCCTGACCGTGGAGAGTCAGGGCTGGAGTTGTCACTCACTGAGCTGAGAGTATCTGGGCCAGAGAGTATCCAGGGGGCTGGATTGATGAGTCCAGAAGAACTTGGATTGGGGGAGATTAGAGCCAGGGGCTGTAGATTTGGTCTCTACTGGCCTAGTCTGGGATCAGTTTGAATAGCTGTCCGAGGGAAAGGCTCAATCCCACTGAGTCCAGGTCTCTCTGAAACCGGGGCTGGTCAGATTGGACAGTTAACCTAAGGGGTAAATTAAAGCACTGCGCTGGGGAGTCAGATGCTGTTTGAATCTTGGTCTTGCCCATTACTACCTACGTGGTCTGAGGGTGGGACCAATCATCCATCCATCCATCCATCCATCCAACACAGTTACTCAGTATAACCATGTGCCATTGTTTTCTCATTCATGAGACAAGGATTCAGTGAGTTAATGAATGTAAAGCAGTGAGGCCAGTGCCTGGCACATAGCAGGTGCTCAATACATGATATAGTAACGATGATGGTGATTATAACGATAGTGGTGGTGACTGTGACAATGGCGGTGGTGGTGGTGGTGATGACGGTGATGTTGGTAATAGTGACGATGGAGGGTAGGTGACTACGCTGATGCTGTTGAAGATGGTGCAGACAGTGATAGTGATAACGGTGGTAATGCTGGTAATGAACATCAGTTAATGGTAAGTGGTGGTGGTTATGGTTAAGGTAGTGATGAAGGAGATGATGATAGAGGAAGAAGAGGAGAGGTAAATCCTGTCCTGGGCATCAGGAGCAGAAACAGATAGACACACAGCTGGTCCCCAATCACTCCTGACCTCTGCCTCCCTCAGATGGCCTCTTGAAGGTGATGATCCTTGAGAACGTTGAGAATGGCTGAGGAGGGAGACCTGAGAGGCCGAAGATACTGACTGCCTAGGATGGGGGTGGGGACCCAAGGAAAGCTTCCCAGCGAAGGGAACTTTTGAACTGCATCTTCCTGGGCAAGTCTGGGTTTTCCATCTCCACTGTGGGAATAAGGAGGGGTTCCAGGCAGAATGGCTCTTGAAAAGGTGAGAGAGGACGGGCCTGGCAGGTGTGGTGAAGGCAGCACCGAACATCTGTGTCCACCCCAGGTGAACAACAGCCCCTTCAACCGGGGCAAGCTGTGCAACGTGGGGTTCTGGGAGGCCATGCAGGAGGAGGACTGGGACTGTGTCTTCTTCCACGATGTGAACCTCCTCCCGGAGGACGACTGCAACCGCTACGTCTGTGACGTCTTCCCTGCCCATGTGTCCGTGGCCATTGACAAGTTCAACTACAAGTAGGTGGAGGGAGGGACTGTTGGCCTTGGTCTGCCCTCCCCTGGACCTCGCCCTGCCTATCTGTTCGGTCCAGGCCCCTGATCCCTGTGGCAGAGACAGAGAGGGGATGTTGGGAAAGGCCTTGGGATGGTGAAGAGCCTTTCTCTCAGATGTGGGCGTCACGTGGAGTGGGACTGCTTGTCAGTGCGGGAGTCAGGATGCTGTTAATAAAGTGGTAGGCAGCAAGGTTGTGAACTGAGGTCACAGAAGGGGAACTTACGAAAAGAGGGGCTAACTGGGGATCAGCAAGGGCTATTGATGGCGTCAGGAGATGGGCCTGTCAGATGCTTCAGGGAGGGGATAGCTCAGGATCCGATGAGGGTCAGGGGAAGGACTACCTCAGGATCAGGCAGGGGGACATCTGGGGGTCAGGGCAGAGGTTATCACAGAGGTGAGTGGAGAAGGGCTTACCCAGAAATAAAGCTTGGAGACTCCAGCCAGGAAAGGGCTAGGGCCCATTGGTAGGAATTCCCTATGCTTCCAACCCTGTCTGCCTCTCCAGGCTGCCCTACCAGGGCTATCTTGGAGGGGTGTTTGCTCTGCGCCCCATTCACTACCTGAGGATAAACGGTTTCCCCAACACGTACTGGGGCTGGGATCAGGAGGACAATGAGATCGCTGCCAGGTAGGGGGCCCTTCTCCAGGGAGCCCAGCACAGGGAGCTGCTGGTCCCTCCATGGCTGGGGGGACACTGGCTGCCCTTGGCTAATAGGGGACACCCCCTATTTTGGATTGAGGGAGACACGAGCCGCTCCAGCCTGAGGGGCTGGGCGCTGGGCACGGCATGGGGATCTTATCAGAGGAGACAGGCATCTGGCCTCCCTGCCCTCCCCTCTGTAAGGGTGAAGCTCAGTGGGATGCTCCTTTCCCGGCCCCACCTGCTCTTTGGCCGCTACCACATGCTGGAGGAGGGGCAGTACCCCAGCCACAAGCAGAGCCCCCAGAGGTGAGTCAGAGTTGGGGCAGGGGTGGGGTGGGGGGTGGGAGGATTCTAGGCCTGTCCCCGATCCCCAGGCTCACGTGGCAGCCCGTCCTGCGTCTCCTTCCAGCCCTGGCCTTCTGGCCCCGATCTGCCGCAGGTGGTGGCACGATAGCTTGAACTCGCTGGGCTACAGGCTGCTCTCCAAGGAGCTGCAGCCCCTCTACACCAACCTCACCGTGGACATCAGCTTCTCAGCCCCGGGAGCCCTAGGGCCAGGCTGAAGGGTATCTGAAGGCCAGAAGGAATCCCTGAGACCCGGGCTGCAGGGCAGCCCTCCCACTCAGCCTTCCTGGCTTCTTATTAAAGGAAGGTTTACTTCACTCACTTCTCTCTGCCACCCCACACCCCATCCTTCCATTTCCATTCATTCAGTTACATGGGGCCTCATTCAAATTCGCCAAGCTCTGGGTCTCTCCATGCAGTTCAAAGTGCTTAACACACGCCCACCCGTTGACTTCTCACAAGGACTTGTTGGGTAGCCCTTCTGTCATCTTCCTTTTGAAAACCAGGACAGATGTCTTGCCTGATGGATGTAAAATCAAGCACAGGAACCTGGCTCCCAGGCCTGTCCACTTACAGATTATGCTATTCTGCTTTTTTGCAGCAGAAAAAGGGCGGGGGGAGAATGAATAATTTTTTAAAATGTGAGGATGGTTGAATAAATTACAGCATGTCCACATGATCGAATATCACTGCAGTCACTGAACAGCCGTGTTGTGGAGTGAAAAGAACCAGTGCACACGTGTGAGATGATCTAATATTTATAAAACGAAGAGGAAGGAATACCTCTATGGGTGTCTGATTATGAGCATAGTAGTGAGTGTGTGTGGATAACAAGTGTTGGCGGACTTCTTCCATAAAGGCCAGAGAGGAAATGTTTTCAGCTTGCAGCCGTATGGCCTTTGCCACGGCAGCTCAGCCCTGCCACTGGAGCACAAAAGCAGCCACAGACAACACATGAACAGATGAACGTGGCTGTGTTCCAGTAAGACTTTATTTAACAAAACAGGTGGCCGACCAGATCTGGCTGATGGCCAGGTTACTGGCTCCTGGTGTGTATGACCAGGAGCCTGCATAAAAGTACGGAAGAGTCCATACTGAAAGGCTGACGCTGGTTATCCACAGATAGTGGAGGTGGAAAGGGGAGGGCAGAGCTGAACCAGTCAGGAAAGAAAAGAAAAACTACACCATAAAGACCAGAATCCCATTTATGCACTTACCAAAAAAAAAGTACATTCACATGCCTATATGCATAAAGAAATTAATAATTACTGACTGCAACCTCAGGATGTAAATATCCAATAGGGAATAAATTTGGTAATTATGTTAAGTTCTTTTAAAATACGTGTATAATATACACATTGTACAACCCAAACATTTACAATTTTTGTTAATCACACCTCAATAAATATGTGCGTGTGTGCATATATATAAATATATATATAAATTTTTTTATATATGTATATAAAAAATTGAGCCACACTTCCTGTTATGCGGTGAATTCTGTAGCAAACACTACAGAACTGAGGGGGTGTGCATACATATGCATATAAGTACATATGCTGACCTGAAGATGTAAATACGCAGACATACATACACATACAGATACACACATATACATAATACTGCCCAGTCATCGTTCAGTTCCCTGGCCCTTTAGAAATATTGATAACCCACATTAAGTAAGGTTTATATCATGAATATAATTTGCCACGTACTTTCCTGTAAATCTGGGAACAGTCTGTTTTGTACCACATTCTCTTTTCTCGGTGTGTTAAGAGTTTTCTTCCCCAGATGAATCCAAAAAAAAAGAATTTAATGGTCACATGTCTAGTTGTGGATCTTATGAGACCCTGTCAGTTTCAACTATTGAGAACAAACACGTCCTCTGACAGCAATTTCTGACAGCTTTTCTTTTGGTTCACACATCAGTCACTTTTGCCAACCCACAGTAGCATAGGTAGAGGTCAGCCACATCTTTTTGGAAATAAGCACATTTTCAGAACCTTCCATTTTTTACTAGTAAATGAGAGTCAGTCATTCAGAGTTAAGTCTGATTCTATTTTGCTTTAATTTTTTTTATTTCTTTGACGGGGAGGGAGAAATTATATTACATGAATTTTATAATTTTTAATGAGACTAGTATTAATATGGGCATTTCCACTCATTCTTAAAAGTTCTTTTCTGAGTAATTTCCCTCACGTATAATAATGTATAATTTGGTGGCATGCAGTGCATTCCTAGAGTTTTTCTGAAGTGTGGATTCTGTAGCATACAATTAAATCTGACTTTTGTAAGATTTTTTTCTTCAAGAAATCCAGAGTTTGTTTCACTTATGTATATGCTGATGCATACTAGGAATTGATTTCTGCGTAAAGCTTGTCACAGAATAACTGCTTTTGTGAGGTTTACCCCTGGTATGAGTTGTTTGGTGTTTATTAAAATTTGATCTGTTGTTGAAGGTGTTCCCACATTTAGAACATACATAAGGTCTCTCTCCTGTGTGAATTCGTTGATGCACTTTGAGTTGTGGTTTCTTACTGAAGGTTTTCCCACAGTCACAGCATTCATAAGGTTTCTCTCCAACGTGAGTTCTCTGATGAGCAGTCAACTCTGATTTCTGGATGAAGGTGTTCCCACATTTGTAACAGGAAAAAGTTCTCTCTCTAGTGTGGGTCAGCTGATGTTTATGGAAATTGGACCGCCCGTTGAAAGCCTTCCCACATGCAGGGCATATATAGGGTTTCTCTCCGGTGTGAATTCGCTGATGTTCTTTGAATTGTGACTTGGAAGTAAAGGCTTTCCCACAGTCACTGCATTTGTAAGGCTTCTCTCCAGTGTGAATCCGCTGATGCATGCTGAGTATTGACTTCTGGTTGAAGGCCTTCCCACATTCATGGCACACGTGGTGTCTTTCTCCAGTGTGAATTTTGTGATGTATATTGAGGTGTGACTTTTGGGTGAAGGTTTTTCCACAGTCACTACATTCATAAGGTTTCTCCCCGGTATGGATTCGATGATGTATGTCGAGTTGTGACTTGGAAATGAAGGATTTCCCACAGTTATGACAGTGATAAGGTTTCTCTCCCGTGTGACTTCTCTGATGCACGATCAGGTGTGCCCTCTGGATAAAGGCCTGGCCGCATTCGATACACACATAGGACTTCTCCCCTGAATGGATTCTCTGGTGCAAGCTGAGGGTTGACTTTTGGGTGAAGGCCTTCCCGCATTCGCCGCATACGTATTGTCGCTCACCAGTATGAATTCTCTGATGTATGCTGAGGGTTGAATTCTGGGAGAAGCCTTTTCCACATTCACTGCATTCATAGAGTTTTTCTCGAGTATGCGTTCGCTGATGTCTGAAGAGAGATAATATCTGGAAAAAGGCCTTTCCACACTCGTGGCATTTATGGGACTTCTTTCTGGTGTGAATTTTCTGGTGTGTAATCAGTTCTGCCCTCTGAACGAAGACTTTTCCACATTCCTTACATATATATGGTATGTTACCTGTATGACCTGTCACATATACACCAAGTTTTGGTTGTAGAGGGAAGGCTTTTCCACACTGACTGCATTCCTGGAAGTTTTCTACACTGTGGAATCTTGGTTGCTCAAGGAGGTGTGACTTCTGGGTGAAGTCCCTCCCACATTCAGTACATCTGTCTGGTTTCTCCCGAGCATGAATTTGATGTAGTGTGAGCAACTGTTTATGGTTGAAGACTCTTGCACCTGGATTACCTTCGCAGAAGTCCTCTCCTGTGTGAGTTCTCTCACAGCCAGCCTCGGAAGAGCTATGGATGAGTAGCTGACCAGATCCAACAGCCTCATCAAAGTGTTCTGTGGTATTGCTTTGATTCTGACAATCTATTTCTAGGTGAGGGTTCAAGCTTTTTGCAAGTGAGCAACGTTTGTGAGGTCTTCTTCGTGAAGCGTCAAGGTGGAGCCTCACAAGGATGACTTTTCTGGGGTCCTTATAGTCACAATCCCTCTCTGTATTCAGTTTTTCCTTGTTGAGGAAAGCCCTCTGGTGGGAAGGTTTATTTTGACTTTCCTGATACCCCTTTGTTTGGTCAGCCCCTTCCCACAGTTCTTCCAAAACGAACCACTGTGCACCATCTCTTGTGACCTTACTGGCTACATCAGTGTGAAGTGAAGCTTTTTCAGAACTTTCCTGTTGTGGGCTTTCAAGCCCCAACTCCCCTTCAAGGAGAAAAAGATGAAATAGATACAGTGAACAGCTGGCAAAGGATAGAGGAGGAGTTGCATGAAGCTGATTGAGGGAAAGTGCTGAGTCATACAGCGGTGGCGGTGCTGATGGTGATGAAGAGAGAAAACACAGCCCTTGTTATATGTCCCGCCCTTGTCTAGACAGCACTTAGCATCCGCCAGGCCATGCTCTGTGTGATGCACGCACAGGCTGTTCAGTCCTCACAACAGCCCCCTGAGGTAACTACTTACTATTCCTGCTTTTCATGTGAAGAAAAGGAAGCACAGAACCATTCGGTAATCAGCCAAACTCACTTTGCTCACGGCTGGGAACGCTAGATTTGAACAAAGGCAACCTGACCCCACCTGTGTAGGTAGTCAAGCTACGGAGACCTAGTAGGACAACCACAGGGTAAATCAGGCGAGGGTGTCATAGGGCAGATCTGTGAAGAGCCAGAGCTCGAAGGAGGGCTCAGAGCGCGGTGCTTCCTTGGCTTACAACGGGGTTATGTCCTGATAAGCCCATCGTGAGACGAAACTACTGTAAATCAAAAGTGCATTTAATACACCTAACCTACTGAACATCATAGCTTAGCCCAGCCTCCTGTAAATGTGCTTGGAACACTTCAGTGTTACCCTAAGATGGGAGATCCAGTTAGATAACAGATATACAAGAGATGCTCTGTTAGTTATTAGAAAAAATGAAATTAAAACATGAAACAGCTGTCATGACGTGGGTCATAAATGAGAAATTGGGTTAACTATTAAGTGTTGGCAAGCAAGATGTAGCAATGTGGCTCCTCGTGCATTCCCCCACATTCCCACAGCAGAGCATAGACTGTGCAGCCCATCTGAAGAGCTGTATGATTTACTTAGCCAGATTAAGTGTACTCATATCCAGTGAGCAGGCAGTCCCACTCCTGAGTATATTCACCTCTGAGAAATTCTTACGTTGGCCCCCACAGGACATTTACAGAATAACACATGGCAGCATTAGCTGTAGAAACTAGGAGTATGAGGTGAGCCAGGTATCCACTGCCAGGGTAATGGGTAAGTGTGGTAGGCTGAATAATGGCCCCTCAAAGGTATCCACGGTTTTCAGGCTAACAGTCACTCACCTGGACACCTGTGCTGTGGGAGGTCGGCCTCCCCCATCCGTGGCTCCTTTCCTTTTCCCATCCTGACAGTGATTTCTGGGCTGGGAATGTGATACCCTGGGAATTAGAAAGGATATTGCCTTTGGACGTGGTCTTGGGCTTTCCAGGCCATTCCATGAAGCTTTCATTGGAATATCAAAAAAGTCAACATCTTTGCCCAGGAACAGAGTAACACTCAAAGATGCCCAAAAGGAATGAACAGATTGGGACAAACCGAAGGTAAAGTGCATGCCACAAAGAAGGGCATTCTCCTCAAGGAGGCCCGTTTAGGAGCCCCGGGTCGGGGCGCTCACCCACTGAGAAGAGGTGGCTGTAGATCTCCAGCATCACGTCCTGGTACAGGCGTCTCTGGGCAGGGTCCAGTTGCTGCCACTCCTCCCTGCTGAAGTCCATGGTCACGTCCTCAAATGACACTGATCCCTGTAACAACCAACCCCAGCTCCAAGTGGATCAGTCATCATTGGTGAACGGAGCAGTTACATATAAGGACGCATTTTTAAAGATTTTTCTGTTTGCCATGCTATAGATGGCTTCCCACTACCTGTTTCATATTGTATTTGGGGGGAGTTAAAAAATTTGGCCTTCATCACTGTCTCTGGCACCAAGCTCCTAAAAATCCTTGGAATTCCTGGTAAAGCAATAAAGGTGTCTTTTGCTTTGTTAATGAATTGACTTTTGGAAAGCACCTCAGGATGGTGGCTGGTCACTAGAGGAACCAACCTTGTAATTAGAAGGTTGGAACTTTCAGTCCCACCCCCTGACCTTTTGAGAAGGGCTAGCCATTGAATCATTAGTGAATGGCCAATGAGTCGGTCATGGCTATGTGACGAAGCCTCCATAAAACCCTAACAGGACAGGGCTCAAAGAACTTCCAGGTTGGTGAACCAGAAGGCTTCCACATGCCACTGTGCTAGGCCTAAACTCCACGGGGACAGAAGCTCTGTTATGATGTGACTTCTGTTATGCTTCCTCCTCATCTGTGTGAGACTCATGGGATTTAAGCTATGTTAAGAAGTTCAAAGTAGAGTCACAGTGGCCAATGTGAACATCCATATGAGCTGCTGTGAAACATCCAGTATAGGGCCGAGAGTGCTTAAGAGTGGAAAACTAGGAGTGTTAACTTGAGATAAGGAATTTGGCCGTGTCCTTGGAAAGACCTCACTAGAACAGGAGGGAGTGAGAGAGATGAGACCCCCTGGGGCGGAACCATTACATCCTACTGACAAACTTAGAATGGATCACCAAGCGACTTGATGGCTCTTCAGTGGCGGACCTGACTCCCTGGTGCTGAGAGCCGTTCTAGATGGATGCCGCCAGAGCAGAGGGCGACTTCCCACTCAGGCTTGTCGTGAGCCCTGTTGTCAGACTGGGGACCGCTGCTGAGACACCTCCTTCCTGGACTCCTTCCCCCCGACCCACCTTCTCCTGACTCTGACTAAGCTGTGTCGTGTGCTAATTGTGTGCAATAAACCGAGTGATTCGTGAGTTGAATATTGGCTACATTTCGTGTATCTCCAATCCTGTGGATTCTTCCCTGGCTAGGCCCTGTGACAGAAACTCCTTTGTTCTGGATTGCGCCTGGTGTATCTTCATCTGGCTGTTGATATACGTCCTTTAATTACCCTTTGTAATCAGCTAGTAATCTAGTGAAGTAAACTGGTTTCCTGAGTTCTGTGAGCCGCTCTAGTAAATTAATTGAACCCAAGAAGGGAGTTGTGAGAACCCTGGTTTATGTTTATATGCCTCTGGGCATATACCCAGAGAAAACTAATTTGAAAAGATACGTGCACCCCAGTGTTCACTGAGGCACTGTTGACAATAGCCAAGACATAGAACCTAAAGGTCCATTGACAGATGACTGGATAAAGAAGATGTGGTATATTTATACAATGGAATACTACTCAGCTATAAAAAAGGATGCCATTTGCAGCAACATGGATGGACTTAGAGGTTATCATAGTAAGTCAGACAGAGAAAGACAAATATCATATGATGTCATTTATATGTAGAATCTTAAAAAAGAAATGATACAAATTCTATTTACAAACCAAAACAGACTCACGGACATAGAAAATAAACTATGGTTATCAAAGGGGAAAGGATGGGGGAGGGATAAATTAGGAGTTTGGGATTAGCAGATGCAAACTCCTATATACAAAATAGATAAACAACAAGGACCTACTGTATAGCACAGTGATATATACAAATTCTTGTAATAACATAATGGGAAAGAATCTGAAAAGAAAAAATATATACGTATGTATATGTATAACTGAATCACTTTGCTGTATACCTGCAACCAACATGGTGAATCAACTACACTTCAATAAAAAATAGAATTTTAAAAAGTTAATTGAACCCAAGGAGGGAGTTGTGAGAACCTCTAATTTGTAGCCAGTAGGTCAGAAGCACAGGTGACACGTCGACTCGCTATTAGCATCTAGGCGGTGGGTGCTTTTGTAGGACTGAGCCCTCAGCCTGTGGGATCTGACGCTGTCTCCAGGTAGACAGTGCCAGAATTGAGTTAAATTGCAGAACACCCAGCTGGTACCACAGAGAATTGCTTGGTGCGGGAAAAAATCCCCGCACATTGGGTGACCAGAAGTGTCAGAAGTGAAGTGTTCAGTGTAAAGAGAAGCACACAGAAGTGACTGTTGCAGGGAATGCTAAGCGATTCAAAATCTGACCCACCTCTTGGAAAGGGAAGCATGAACATCATGCGAGTGTGCTGGGGTGGGAGTATATGACAGAGGGCTAAATGTCAACCTGAGGGTCTGAGAAGGGGCTGTATATATTTGCAACTTAAACTCCAAGTGTACTTTAATATCGGATTTTCTATTGTTGGCCCATAAAACGTGCTCATCTGAGGACAATGAATGTGCATCTTAACAGAGCCTTCATAGGTGGTACTGGGAGCCACAGGGGGAAGTGATCCACTGCTTGACAAGGATATTGCTGACCCCACATTATATACCTTTTAAAAACAGAACACCTCTGTAACTGAGTATAAATCTATCACAGCATAGTGATGCTGTCCACATGCCGAAGTCCTAACCCCCAGAACCTCAAAATGTGCCAGTACTTCAAGATGCACAGTCTTTAAAGACAGGACAAAGTGCAGATGAGGACTTCAGGGTGGGTCACTGTTACTTTAAAACACGCAAATAAAGCGTCATGAAATTCAGAGTAACTTGTAATTTCAGGAAATCTTCAGTATACCCAAGAATCCTGCTTTCCCATTCCAAAATATCAAATATTAATTATCTGTGGGCAGCTTAGAAACACTGTTCTCTAGCACTTTTATTCAATTTTTAAAATGAGGAAAACCACATGGTCCTTAAAAGCCAGTTCTCGCTCTAGGGAAACCAGCCCATCTCCACACGGCAGGTAAGGAGGAGTCAGGTGGGGACCAGCTGAGAATATCTAAAGACCCAGCTGAGGATGAAGGGTCCTCGCCTGGGCAGAGCAGGAAGGAGCTGGCATTTCCCTGCCTCTGGCTGGAGCTGTCTTTTCTTTTTCCTTTGCCCCAAGGCCAACAACCCTCTTCTCCAACACATTCTTCTCCACTAGTCAGCTCAGTTTCCTCTTTCACACACAGTGCCTGTGGATGAGGACACATCAGCCCTCTGTGGGCTTGCTCTCAGCAGGAGACTCCGGATTGTCTCAGACCAAGGGAGTCCAGAATCTGCTGCTTCCTGTGTCTGCCCTCGAGTTCTGCAGAACTGTCCCTGGGGCTCCCGCTTACCTCACACGATCCATCCCTCTCCTCTGGACCCAAGACCTGGGGTCTCTGGGGCAAATTCGTATCAGCAGGCATGTCCCCTCTGGGCTTCTACTCTTGGTCTTTCTTGCTGACAACTCCACTTTTCCCCGGAGCTTGCAGCTGAGTGGGCATCAGAAGACTCCAATCTGAGCTGCTGGGAAGAGTCAGGCTGGGCAGTGAAGAGAGGTCCTGCAGCCTCAGTGATGTGGGTTCTGCAGAGACACCAAGAAACCCTGGAAAGGAAATGACCACATAGTTACTCATTTAATATTCACTCCATATGGATTTCAGAGGGCCCTAAGGCGAAGGTCACGTGCTAGACAATGAAAGTAGACAAAACTCAGAAAAACTTAGCTGTTGGGGTAAAAAATAAGAAAAGATGAAGAGATTTGGACTAAATGAAAGTTTAATGGCAGCTCTGCCACCTCTTAACTGTGAGAAGATGAAGATCATAGTTTTGCTGCAGTTTCCAAAATGAAGAGGAAGGTATTTATCAAAGGCAGTGGAAAAGTTACATGAGATGAGGCTCGTCATGCCCTCAGCACTTGCCTGACACATGGTGAACACTGAATAAAAAACAGCAGATTGCAGAGTTCGGTGCCTTGTTTAGTTTTCACACAACCCCCATCAGCTAAAGATTGTGATGATAATCATACTCATTTTGTGGATGAGTAAACTGAGGCTGAGTGCTGTTACATCATTTGCCTTAAGGTCACTCACTCTGCAAAGGGAAGAACAGGGACCGAGTCCCATGTCTGGCTCATCTTAAACTGCACACAGCTGGCACTAACCCATGTGGTCCTCTACATGGTCAGCTTCCAGAAACATGGTTTACATTTCCTGTTGCCTTCAGGGAGCTGAGGTTTTAAGTTGTACGTGTCTGATGTGCCTAATCTGAGATTCTGGACATTTCAGTGTCCATTATGTAGACAGCTCAGCCTTTTCTGACAAAGATAAAACTTAAAATTCAACGTTCTGAACCCCACTTTGGCCTGGAAAATTGCAGATATACACCAGGACCCCCCAGTCACTTACCATTTCTTGCCTGTCCATTTTTTCTTCCTTCCCCCCACCAAAATACAGTGATTGGGCACAGTGACCTCTAGAAATCCCCAATGAGTAGACCAAAGAAGGTCACGAGATGCCCCCCAGTTACCCATGACCAGGCTTTGGAAGTCATTACTGCCCTGATTGCCAATAAATGTTTCCAGGAAGTGTGATTTCCACAGGACCCACAAATAATCCCCAACATAGGGTTCCAAATAATGCACCCCGGTAGGAAACTATCATCCATCTGCTCAAATGCCAGTCATTGACAGGGGCCCACGGAGAGGCCAACACTGAGCCATTCATCCATTCCCAAAGGATCCCAACACACTGCCCGGAAAGCAATCAGTTACCCTCACAAACCTCCATCACTGACCCCCTGGGCCTCCAGTTCACTGGTTCCCAGATGCTACCCTTAGCACCCCACTTTACTGATTTCATAGGTCCCCCCTCAATCACTGTCCCCCTTAAGTATGTTACAGTGGGACCCTCAAAGTCCTCCAATCCCTGAAGTTTCTGCTCCCAATCACTGCCTCCTGCAGTCCCCCAAGCAGTGGATCACTTCCCCAAACGGCTCCCAGCACCATCTACCAAAAGGCCTTCTTAAGGCACAGATTCACTGTCCTCAAATGAGCAAGTTTCACGGGCCAACAATAGAAAATCTGATATAAAGTACATTTGGAATTTAAGTCGAAAAAATACATACATTCAGAAAATATGCAAAGCGTCAACATTAAGGAGCCAATTATCCAACTTATAGTAGAAAACCCCACTCACCCCTGTAAGCCCCCACCACTAACATCCCCATCACTCACCCCACGGAGCCCCACCACTCACTCCCTCGACTTGGCATCACTTACTCCGCAGACCCCCATCCCTCGCCTGTCCCCTAACCCCCACATCACTGACACCATGCCCATTTCCCCTCACTGACCCCACAGATTCCCCACTGCTAATATTCCAAGTCACCTTTGCCTCCCGCAGGCGATAGACGGGTTAGGAGAGTTGACAACACCAGCGAAATGGCCGCTCTGGGCCACTTCCGGTTTGAATTCCTGCCTGGATTTCTGGGGCGGGACTTGAGCTGCGCGCATGCTCACTAGAACCTTTGAAGCCACTCCCTGCCAATAGTTATGGCTTATTACCCTTATTTCTAGTCCGCGGTTCACTTTCTTTCAGGGATTGTCTGGAGAACGACATGGCGGGGCCCATACGGCTTTGATACTGGAGGCCGCCATTTTTAAAGAGCCTTCATTCCGTACAGCCAGGGAAGACATCAGGCAATCTCAAAGTTAGTCTTGGCAATGTCTTAAATATGGTGTATATATCTATTTCTAGGAGACAATAGCATTGCATATTCTGGAAAGTACCTTTTCTCTTTATTTTTCACACTGATTTATTGTCCCACCCTCAGAATCCAGGTATCCTGCGCCCTTTTCCGTCCCACAACTCCCTCTGCCCAGAGAGGCAAAAGGAGCATTGAGAGCCCAAAGGTGTTGGTTGAGCTTGGGGCAGAGAACGCCTAAAAACCTGGATATTTCCTAAGTGTTGAGAGCCATAAAATGAGTGTCTTCTGTTCTGTTAATGAGGTGGCTTTTGGAAAGTATCTAAGGATAAATTCTCTCTGTGCATGCCTTGCTTGTTGGGCTTCACAGGTATTGCATTTTTTTTTTCAAGAATTAAATGTTTGTGGCAGCCTTGCCTTGAGCAAGTCTATCAGTGCCATTGTCCAACAGCATTTGCTCACTTCATGTCTCTGTGTCACATTTTGCTAATTCTCAAAAGTATTTCAAACTTTTTCATTATTATATTTGTTATGGTGATCTGAGATAGTGAATTTTGGTGTTACTATTGCAAAAAAGATGATGACTCTCTGATGACTCAAATGATGGTTAGGATTTTTTAGCAATAAAGTATTTTTGAGTTAAGTTATGTACATTGTATTTTTTAGACAGAATGCTATTGTACAGTTAATAGACTACATAGTGTAAAAATAACTTTTATTTAAAACATTTTTTTAAATTGTAGTATAGTTGATTTACAATGTTAGTTTCTGGTGTAAAGCAAAACGATTCACTAATACATATACATACATTTTTCTTCAGATTCTTTTCCATTATATGTTATTACAAGATACTGAATAAAGTTCTCTGTGCTATGCAGTAGGTCCTTGTTTTTATTTCACTTCATTTACTTTTCTCAAAAAGATTGTAGTATAGTCAATTTGCAGTGTTGTGTAAGTTTCTGGTGTGTGGCATAATGTTTCAGTCATACATATACATACATTTTGTTTGTCTATTTTAAAACATAACTTTTATATGCACTGGAAAACCAAAAATATCTGTGTGGCTCGACTTACTGAGCTAATTGCTTTTTGGGGGTGGTCTGGAACTGAACCTGAAATATCTCCAAGGTATGTGTGTATGCTAAAATGTCTGTATGAATTTGAATTCCTTAGGGGACACATGCTTTAACCAGTGTTTATAGATATAGCCAAATGACTCTCCACGAGGTTGTACCAATTTGCATCCCCACCCCCTGCAATGTGATGAGAGTCTCTGCTTCACTCCAACCTCAACAGCAGAGTACATTAGCACTGATTTTGAGCTTTCCGATTTTACCCATAAAAAAAAAGTACCCTCTCATAGTTTGAACCTGAATTTCTCTTGTTAGGCATGAAGGTGAGCATTTTAAAATAGGTTTCATAACCATTCATATTTTCCATTCTATTCTGTTCTGCCTTTCGGTAAACTGGCTTTTCATGTCAGTTTCCATCATTATTGGCTTCTGTTTCTTTTCTTAAGGATTTGGACAAGTTCTTTTTATATTAGGAAATACAATCATTAGTCTATAATATGATCATGAGTATCTTTTTCTAATTTGTCATTGTCTTTTGATTTGGTTTAGCTTGGATTTGCCATCCAAATTTTGTTTTATATAGTTGAATTTATAAGTCTTTAAGCTTTAAAGCTTATAAGCTTGTAACTCTTTGCTTAGCACTCTGGCATTCCCAACTCTGAAAATGTATGTAATGTTGTGAAATGTGAACTAAAATGGAGTCACTTATGTCAAGGGGCTTTTAAATGGAGCTGGGAGGAGGCCATTAAGAGGCGGGACCTTGCACACATCCCCACCAGGTGGAAGCATGAACTTTTAAACTGGGCCAAACCACAAATATTTCAAGGTCTCTGCAAGAACACCTGCAGCTTGTCACAGCAACGGATTTTTCCACCCTCTAGTCATAGCCTTAGCACTCAATCTTGTTCAGCCAAGATTAGCTTCTGCCTCCAACTTCAATTAAAATTCTTTGTAACGCAAACCTCCCTTCTTTGCTCCTGACTGTTAGTCCTTTATGGGAAACTCTGTGGGTCGCTTCCTGAATCTGTGTGCCCTATGCTTTGAATTGCAATTCTCTGATCTCAAAGAAATGCTTTCTGCTTGATTATGTTACCAGAGAGTAAGTTCTTGTCTATTTGTAGAAGGAATTCAGAGAAGAGACAAGGAGATCAAGAAAGTAAAGTGAGAATTTATTAAGTGATAGTACGCTCTCAAGGGGAGGTTGGCAGACTCAGGGTAGTAGCTGCCATTAGTTTCTTTGGCTAGCTGGTTATATGGGGTGTGAAAATGAATGGGCAGAATATTCACTGGGGAGGGAGGAGTTCGGGGTCGTATTTCCTGATTTCCACCCCAGCTCCACCTTCAGTCATATATGAACATACATATATTCATTTTTATATTTTTCTTAACCATAAGTTGCTACAAGATATTGAATATACTTCCCTGTGCTATACAGTATAAACTTGCTGTTTATCTATTTTATATATATACATATATATTTATGTTATATTAGTTAGTATATACAAATCTCAAACTCCCAATTTATTCCTTCCCACCCCTGTCCTTATTTAGTCTTGATCGGAAGTGTCATGCATTGGTGCATGATGAGTACTTCTTGTCTGCAAAGCTAATTTTATTGTAATGGGGGCATAATGAGAAAAAGATTACATTCAGATGGCAGAGATTCCTGTCTGTCCCATCTTTTTTTTATCTGCCTAGTGGACCCTTGTCACCCCAAAATGTGTGGTTTCCTGTCAGTCCAGAGGTTCCTGCTTTTCTTTGTCTGCCCAAGGACCCCTGTTATTCCCATCAAGTATAAGTAGACATCTCGTGATTTTAAAGTTGAAAAGCATGCCGAGAGGAAGGAATAGGAGAGCAGAGACAACCGTGGAGAGAAAGGGTCTGAAATTTTCAAGTAAGGAAATTAATCCTATAAGGCAAGAGAAAAGGAGTGTGTATGGAAGTGTGGAGGTTACAGGCAAAGAGAGGAAACTGTGGCAGAATTATATGTAAATATAAATGCAAACTAAATATAAACATAAATAGAAATGTGTTTATGTGCATATTATATATGTTATAATGTATACATTGTCACCCTAAATAAACCTAGGGGGCAATAATTGTTACAGCAGGCAGATGGCTAGATATGAGCAGGAGAAAGAGGGGGCACGGGCCATGTGGCAGGAAACCATACATCTGGTGAACAGTGGGGATCCTTGGTCAGAGGCGAGTCCAGAATCTGCTGCTTCCTGTGTCTTCCCTCACGTTCTGGAGAACTGTCCCTGGGGCTCCTACTTTTTTTTTCTTCTGAGATTTGTCCATGCTCAGGTATCCAGGAGCATGGATACTTTTAGGAGGGTTACACAGAGCGTTGTGATCTGAGGGACACACAAAAGGGGCATCTGGAGAGGTCATTAGTGTTTTATAATATGATCTGTGTTGTGTTTACACTAATTTTTGCTTTCTAACCATTTGGCTAATGTCACCTGTATGGTTATGCACTTTATGCATTTTATATGTATATAATCACAGTAAAAACTGTAATAAAAATCTGACAAGATACAAGAAGTTTGATTCTCTGACACCCATCTTTTGGTGACATTTTATATTGCTTCTTTCCCCCAGAGCTCAGTATTCATAAATGAGAGAATAATTGTTTTTGAAGCTCAAGGAATACTCAGTTTACCTACCAGGGAAATAAAAGATTGATTTGTATGATAGATTTGATTGCACCAAAATGAAGATTCCCATCAAATAGAGAACAATTCAGGTAAATTGAATCAAGAAATTACAGAATGAGAGCAATCTTCATTTAAGCTTACAGGAGCTTTTAAACGAGAATGTACCAAATCTCCCACAAATCAACAAGAAGGAAAACCAGCCAACATAAAAATAAGCAAAGGGCATGAATTTTTATTTCACAAATGTGGAAGCATGAATGCAAAACAAGTCCTCACTGAGATGCTCCAACTCACTGGTAGTTGAAAAAAAATGAGATTCAACAGAAACGAGATACTACTGTACACACATCAGATCAGAAAATCAAGGTGGCAGATAACAGCAAGCAAGGCAAATATGTGAGGAAGCAGGAACCTCATGCTCTGATGATGGGAGCATAGACTGTTGTGCCATTTTGGGAGCTGGCAGTACTCTGTTTTGTGAACTGACTGCATTTGCTCTCTGATAAATCGCTGAGCTACACACTTAGCCATTTGTGTCTTCTGCACGTTATACACGTTACCATAAAAAATTAACTTAAAACTAATATCGAGTGGAAGTACCCAGAAAAAAAAGAAATACAGACTGTATGATGACATTACATGGAGGTCAAAAATAGCAAAACCTAAACTTTGAAATTTAGGGATGCATATTTTGTTGGTAAGAATATATCATTCTCCAAGGTTAATAGTAGGGATGAGATCAGAATCTTTAGAGAAGCTGTAAGGAAAACATCAAGGTCCCTCTGTGTAAACCCTTTGAATGAATAATTCACAAAGAAAGATTGCAGTTAATTTTAAAAGATGGACAATGTTTATAGTTACAGCGATGCAAAGTAAAGATGTAACTCTGTTTCTCTAACCTTGAATTAACAAAAGGGAAAAAAGTCAGTAATGCCAGGCACTCTCACGTGTTGTCGGGAGATTTGAATGACTTTGGGAAATATCATGTTGGCGTCAAATGGAATTGGGGGAATTATCTCCACATACTGTTATCCATTAGAAAGGCATTTTTCTCTAA